ATGTGAAAAACTCCTCTAAAGCTCACTAATCATCAGGTTGCCTATGTGGGGTTTTAAGAGGAGTTATTTCCTAATAAGCAAACAGGAACAGTAACTGTAAACCCCTGGAGTTTTTTCAGCATAATAAGAATGCCGGGTTTTGAGCAAATCTGGAATAATGCAAAAATAAATGTTTTTTAAACTTTTATGGCAACTGTCTTAGACCACAAATGTTTTTTTTTTACAGAATCATAGAATACATATTGTGCTTTTTGGGGTTTTCACTTTCCTCTGGAGTGTTGTATAGGTTTGTGTGCATGTAAATGGTCTGCAAATGTCCTCCTTAAAGGGGACCTATCATGCAAAATGCACTTTTGTACGTCTTTTCTACATGAATATGTGTCCCCGGTGTTCCAGGGAACTCACCAAGTGTCAGAAAACACAACCCTCTCTATTTTCCTCCATACCCAAATCTCTAAAAAAGGGGCTGCAACGGATCTGATAAAAACTGATCCAGATTTGAACACTGTCCTGACGTCAGGACGGTGGCGCTACGGCTATTGGGCCAACTCCACCAATCAGGAGGAGACAGCCACGGCCATTGCCGTTCGAAAGCGCTGGAGACGCTGTAGTACATATGCCAGGCCTGTAGATGGTGCTGTTCTCACAGAATCTGCCCTTGCAAATCCAGAGCAAAAAATTTTCAAATTGAGCAAAATGAGGCATGGCTAAAATGCATGATCTGTTTGGTATTTTGAAAGTATAATTGAAGTATAAATATGCCTTATATAGGTATGGTCCTACACTATATTATTCAAATATAGCATGATAGGTCCACTTTAAGTAACGGTTTTTGGTAACACTTTATTTTAAGGTACACATATTCGCCATCAGCTAGTTGTTAATTAACATATTAGCAGTATATTGGCTCTTTATTAGTCATTACAAAACGCATATTAATGTATTTTTCTACATGACCATATTCTACAAGTACTCATTAGTTAAGAGTTTGTCGTTAATAACCCTTTAATTAGTGCTTATTTATTGTAAGTAAGGACGTTGTTGTACATGAGTTTTGGTCTTAATATGCTCAATATGGGCATAATGAGGCATTCTCTCATAATAACACCTAACAAATATGGTCTATTCTTATGTAACAAGACGTGAAACTACAAGTGTTAATTGTGTCAAAATAACTCAAAATGTGTTTTTTCTAACTCAGAATATGTTCCCTATTTTAAAGTGAAGTCTTGTTCATAACCAATAAGCCAGTAGTTTGACTCTAATATGTTAATGAACAACTAGTTGATGGTGAATATGTGAACCTTAATCTAAAGTGTTACCAGGTTTTTTTTCTATGCTTTGTATCCTGCTGTGGAGTACTTATGACATGTCATGGATCATTAGACTGGGAAGTGAAACAAAACTCCATGAGAGCATTTGGCTACTTGGAGTTTGTTTCCTGTCTCAGTTGGAGTCCCTTTGCATCCTCCTGTCAGTAAAAACAAGATGTCGTCACCTCCTCTCCCTCTGATATGTCTCTCAGCTCGCTCTCAAAACAATCATTAGGCTCGGTCTAAGAGCCTCATTAAGACTTGCTAAAGAGGTCATAAGTTCTGCCTGCAGTCTAATCAGAAGTGAAGTTTCACGCTCCGCTGCGAAGCCCGACCATAGTTTACTCTCCTCTGAGACCACGAGCAAACACAGAGAAATGCCTCTAATTATTATTCTAAATTAAACTGTCAATAAATGACAGGGGTTAGCTACTGTAAAATTATGATGTTTGCACGGGACCACAAGCTGATTTATTGGTGCAATTAAGGCTTTTTGCATACAGTATAGCTACAAAAAATAACTAAATCATACTTTCATACTCGTCATAATATGTTTTGCACGGAAGCAATTACCAGGGCCTTTCTCATGAAAAGGTGCTTTCTCATGAAGTCCATATCTCGTTATATTTGGCAAAGGTTTCATGGCCAAAACTGCTAATACTAACAGCTCATTGAAGGTCATGTGACAAAGGTGTGAACATCTATCTAATATGTGAATGTGAACGAAACATGAGCGTCAAACAAAACCCACAATTTAGATCTTGATTTGTTTCTGAAGCAATTGCAAAACAATATTTGTGAGACACGGGAAACCAATCAGCAGCTTCCGGCAGGTTCAATTAGAGATTTTTAAGAAGGACCTGTGATTAAAGCTCGGACATTGATACTGCAGAGCGATCACCTGCAGACCAAATATTGTTTGTCTCTCCTTCTCCTGCAGATATGGTGGCCTTTCAAGGTGGTTCAGCTTGAGGTCTATGCACAAGTCTTGGAATAATTGGCTCGAGAGCAAAGGCTCTTAAACCTCAGCAGCTGAAATGACTTGTGACACCGGTTGCTCGTTTGTAGCTCTGCCCCTCCATCTGTGAGCAGGTGGCGCTGAATTATTTCCCCTTTAATGTGAGCTCATTAGGGCGGAACAATCGATCAACACCTGACCGAAATCGCAGCATAGACTTGTGAAATAATCAAATCTTACAGACTTAATATAACATTTCAGTTTGGTACAGATCCTCTTATTTTAATTTTAAATAATAATAATTTTGTCAAATATGAATTAATTTAAAAAGTACTTTACAGATGTTTTAGTTTTTTGCATTTATTACGGTACTTTAATTTTGTACGTATGACTGGAGGAATACCCATTTTTAAACTATCAGTAATCCTTGAATTTTCCTTTCCATCCAAGCAAGGACGATACCATTTGTTTGTTATATTTCCACAGCAAAAAGCAATTGTTCGCCAAATTGGGAAGCCCTACTTTCTATCCACAATATGTGATTGTTGCTTATTGTATAAATACATCAATTGATCTTAAAGGTCCCATGACATGCTTTTCCGGTTATTACCCGTCCCCTTGTGTTATGAAGGTTTGTATGCATGTACTGTAAACGGTCTGCAGAGTCACAAATGCTGCCCCAGAACGCCTCGTTGGAGATTTATCATTTTCCATTGCTTACTTCTTGGGTATAGTGACGTAACGTAACGTCCGCGGAGCCGTTACGTTTGGACCAATCTGCGGACTTCCTCACACACACACACTCGATGGGTTTCGCTGTGTCTCGCTGTCTCGCAGACGGCCACTGGGCTCACAGGGAGGGGGGGGGGCAGGAGCTCCAACAAGCCGTGTAGGACAGAGAGTGAATACACATACTACACAGAGATGCTGTATCAGAAACCAATGAGAGTTTGGAAAATTGCACAATATAAATCTATTCTAGTAGACCTCAACAATGGAAATATGATCAGTAGAAATGGCCATGACATGGGACCTTTAACACTAACACACTTAAGAGAATTCAAATGAATAAAATGCATTGTTTTTACCGTCCTTATAAAACCAGTCGCCTTTCAAGCTCCCAAGATCGCAAACTTCGTAACGCTTTAATTAAAAACATGTAGAGTCGTAACTTAAGGTCAACACTTTACTATGATTTATTGACGTCCACACCCACAAGTAACTGATTACAGTCTCCTACAATTGTAATGCAATGCATCACTTCACTTTCTTACTATAGGCTGCCAGCAATTCACTTAGTATAAACCAAGGAGGGCGTTTTAAAACCTCAAGGTGTCCCTCAAACACCTCGACCTTCATGTAGCAACACTTCTTTAGAGACTCATAAAGAATAGACCTATACAATATCACATCTTGGCTTTCATTTGGAAGCCTAATTTTGATGTTATCTCTATTTGCATGTGTGTGTGTGTGTGTGTGTGTGTGTGTGTGTGTGTGTGTGTGTGTGTGTGTGTGTGTGTGTGTGTGTGTGTCTTCCCGTCTTCCTGTGGGATGAGCCACTGATTGAGGGAGAAACAATCAGCGAGAGTCTCATTACACGGCTCCCCGCCATCAGACGTGCAAATAATCACAGCAGATAATTGATTTTAATCCTCAGAAAGAATCACATGTTCTCACACATGACTCACAACACAGAATCATCATCATCCTCGTCACGTAATCTCTCGGGAGGATTTTCCCGCACGATATTGCACTGATAAAGCCGTGTCATAATTATTGTCAGTGTGTCCTTGCCATGCTGTGTAACAGAGGGATCTGTAGGCTGATGTGTTTTTAGGCGAAGTTGGTTTACACATACATTATAAGGAATTTGCTTTGGTCTAGTCTCCTTTATAAAGGAGCAAATATAGAGTATACAAACTATTTAAAAAACATTTCTTATTATAATAAAATAAGTGCATTATATCAGATTAAAGAGGAAGACCTGTGCAGTTGTAAAAATGCATAATTGAATAGAAATGTGGAAAATATACAGACACATATGCAAGGTTTGCATTATTTTGTATAAGGAATGGCTCACATGATCACAATAATTAAAGGGGCCTATTATGCTTTTTGGGCTTTTCCCTTTCCTGTAGTGTGTTATTTAGATTTTAGTGCATGTAAATGGTCTGCAAAGGCTAAAATCCCCTGATTTTCTCTCGTCAAAATACTAATATGAACGTGAAATGAGCCCATTTAAATATGTACTGTTTGTTTTTCTTTGTGGAGAAACTCCCTGAATCTTCTGCAGTATTGTCGCAGCCTGTTTCTATACTATCTAAACAAATGTGAGTGTTAGCCTGATTCAGGTCTTTGTCTGGAACATTGTTTACTCAGAAAGTTTAACGTTCACACAAACTGAGTCGATGTGGTTATTTACCATCATGTCAACATCCTTCGCTTCCTGCAATGCTGTGATTATGCATGTCACTTTGAATAAATGCAGTGTGCCGTTGATCTCTCATTTCCGACAGTGTTCAATATGCAGCAGTTAGCTAATGCATTTACAAACTGTCAGCGAGGCACGGACACTTCTCCGGATGTTTATAAAACTCTGGCAGCATTTCAATGAAGCTTCAAACCTGAGGGATGAGCGTTTCTGTTGAGCTGCAGGAGGGGGAACCAGCAGTTCATTTTGTACCATGGTATATCCTGTTAAATGACACACTTTTATGTTTGTCTTTCAG